CTGAAAGCAACCACAGCCTGTGAGAGCACTGCTGAATAAACAGGTGATGGAGTAATAACACAATGGGGTATCTATATTAAAAGTTACTAAGGAGCTGCTTAACAACACCTTATAGGTACTTAACTTTGTATTTTAATTTTGCTTCAGGCTTTCCAAAGTAAACATGAACGTAAAGGCAGAGACATCCCAGAAAATGGGATATAACCACACAAATACAATCTAGATATGTGCTACAGCAATGCTCATGAGACAATCATTTTCATAACAGGAGCTCTGTTGATTGCCCTTGACATGGAAAATATCCTAAATTCCAAGCACAGCCTTCTTCCTCCTTTAAAAGCTTGTAGCTGTATGTTACAGTGTCATCTTAATACAGTGGATACTTTTGATGAAAGTATGCTTGGAATATAATGACATGAGTGAGATTTTTTTAATGTATTTGATGATATTCAATAGCAAATTATTTCCTGGACTAGCATTCTTAAAAAGTGTCAGTGTAACACAAGATGGGGGAATGCACAAAATGGAGTAGCTGATATTTTAAAACACCTAGGTCAGACTGCCAAAGCCTAGAAAACAAGCCATGTAACTAAATCAGGGAAATTATATTCTTAGTTTTTTAGATTTTTAACTTATGGTTAAGTGCACATATCATATGCCAAGCTCAGAACTGTTCTAAAGTCCCATCTGTTTGATCCCTTTCTCCTGCTTTTACTGACAGCAAGGGCTATGCCTGGATTACAGTCACTATTATGCAGAAAGCTCACAATAAAACCTGACAGTATATAAACATTTATCCAAACTGGATTTTCATTAAATGGGGATTCAATCCTTCTCCTCTCGTGACAGATTTTAAACAAAGCTGAGAAATGCTGGTATAATTTTTTAATCAGCTAAACGTAAAAATGGAAAATTCATGCATAAATATGAGCAAGACCACCAAACTCAGAATTCACCAGAGCATTCATGCATCAAAACCAGACTGTCCAATGAAATGTGAAAACTCTGGGACTGTAACCACAGTAGCACACTTCAGATGCTGATGTACAACCTGCTGTAATTTGGTCAACTGGAAATGATGTTTTGTTTACTGTACACTTGTGAGTCTATTATTTCATTCTCCATTGTCAGAAAACTTAGGCTTTCTATTGCTTGAAGGAGAGCTGGAGGACAGGAAGACAGGATGAAAGGTGGATCTCATCCAACATAGTCAAACCTACAATGAGTGCACCAGAGTTCATCAGCAGTGCTGAGACTTCCTGTGCACACACAACAGTCCTAATGGGTTCTTCCAGAGGAGAAATTTAAAAGTACAATCCTCTTCTCCCCTCAAAAGTTTTAGCCTCTTGCTCAACCAGTGTTTTCCAGTCCTAAATGGGTTATCTAAGGAGAATGCAGGGATTAAAAAGGAAAAAAATAATGTAGGAAGAGTCATAAAAATAGCCCAAAAACTACAACCCTACCTGCCAAACTAAGAAAAAAAAAAAAAACCCAGAATGACTTGAGATGAGGTATTTAAAATAAAATTGTACAAAGAAAACTTGAACAGATCTTTTTAAAGCCTGGATTATGTAATACCCCATTAAACACTGATGTGTCAGAGTTGACTGTGTACTTGATTTTTTTGGTGTAAATTACAAATTAAGGCACCCTCACCATTCAGCTCAAATTCTCAGGGTGGCAACATTGAAAAAATTTAAGCATATGGAGAAGCTAAATATGAAGTTTCCCTGCCGATGACCTAGCCTATCCTTAAAACTAGCTCATGTTAAACCATTCACAAAAATAAACCCTGAAGTCACAGCTTTAAAATAGCACAAAACATCCAGTGGATCTTGTTTGTTACCTAACCACGCAGGAGAACTATTGCCAGTTTACATCCCCGGCAATTTTTCACCAAGAGATAGAGAGTAAAATGCAGAAGTTTGACTAAAAAATTAAATTACAGAATTTGAATTAAATTTAGAATAAAAGTAATTAAATCTAAAAAAAAATTAAATTCCTGTGTCTTCAGGACACTCATCTGTAGGCAAACAGGAATGGAAGATCCATGATCAGGGCTGCTTCTGATCTCATCTCCTGTGCTCCCAGTGGCTCCTGTAACAGCCTCCTCCCTGCCCTTGGCCAAGGGTGCTCCTTGGTGCCAGTCCCCACAGCTGTGGGATCAAAGCAGGAATCCCCCAGAGCAGGAAGGAGCCAGAGCCAGCTCTCTATGACATCCCAGTGCCAACGTGGCAGCAGGAGACAGAAGGAGCACGTGCCACCCTTCCAACAACAGCACCACGGAGTTTGTGGGCTCTGAGAGGTACTTGAGCTGCCAGGTGAGCTGCTGGCACTGCCAGGATGGGTCAGGAGGATACAGAAGAGGCCCAAGGTGTAACTCAAATACTTATTAATTGCTACCAAATATCTCTCTCTCTGTACCTTTATATTTAGCATATTTATCCTTAGACATGCACACACAGCAAGAACTGCACAACTCTCTAAGAATATAATCTACCAATACCCTTCAAACCTGACCAAGTGGGACAAAAGTTTTTTGCTCATCCAAGGTCCTCTGTCTGCAGCTGTTCCACATGGCAAATTCCCATTTCAGTAAATTGGTGCTCTGCTCCCAGAACAGATGCAAAATCACTCTCAGGGAGAATATACAATGCAGCCTGATTCCAAGAACAAAGTACCATTTTAAGTCTTCATAATTCTGTATTCAAATTATTATTTTTGATTGCAGTGGGAATTCCATTAAAAAATTGATTTTTTACTAGTTAGAAGACAATTACAGTGTATTAGTATTGTATTTTTTTATATGGGTACATTCTGGCTGTTATTTCTGAGCACTATTATAGGCTACAGACAGAAAAACACCTGCACCCCATTCATTACAGCACTGACTCTAACAAAGACACACTCAGTCTACCCAGCTAGGGATACAGCATTTAGGGGTCAAATTTAAATGTTTCCCTCCATTAAAGACAAACCTATCAGTATGAAAGTGATTCTGAACAAGTTGTTACTTGTAGTGTTCAAGGTCCTTATAAAACTAAAAAAAGTACTACAACTAATCACCCTTTAAATTTTAAAATGTATCTTCTTTTGCTATATGAAAATTGTTGCCTTATATGGGTCTTTTGGTGTTGCACCTTTCAAAGTACCCACCAAAAAAAAAAAAAAAAATGTTTATTTCCAAGAGAATGTGCCACTGCCTGGAACTTGCACAGGCAACAAAAGCCTCAAACACAGGGGACCCCCAGAGATACTGCTGCTTCCCTATGGAAGGATAACACAAGGAAGGTGATGAAAAAATTTCACTGTGCTGGAAAGAATGAAAAGTCAACATTTTGGCATGTTGAGTTAACAGTGGAAAGCTTGGGTAGAAAACTTCTAACCATTAGCCAGGCTGCACTATCAGAATCACATAAAATAAATGAGAATTTGGCAAAGATATAGGAAAGATCCTGAAAGTCAAGCCAACAAAAACAAAACAAAACAAACAAAAAAAAAGAATTCAGCTCTCAAGATATATCTCCTGCCAATTTTTTAAAATGTAATCCACAGTTTACAAAACCAGTCTGTTTAAAGAGGTTAGCTACTAAAATTATCAGCCAATTTAAAAATTCTCATATACATCCATTTTTCTCTGCTATTTTATAGCATCTTTGTTCAGTTTGAATATTCTATGAGAAACAAATAATTGAGTGATATAATTCCCTTAACAGCTCATGACATTTCTAAGACCAAAAAATGATCTTCATCTGCTTCAAGAAAAGAAAAAAATCTGTGTAGTATTATGATGGAAGTTGAAAAAGGCATCAATTTTCCACAACAAATGAATCACAATATTTAATTTAAGCGTTCCATACAAAAACATAAAGAAGGGAAATGAACGATCACGAAACCATGCACAACTGAATGGGAAAAAAATCACCAGTATTGCATAAAAAGTGAAAATCTTGGAAATATTATTCTGATGATAAGCAGAATTTCATCAATCTTTAAATTCATAATTATCCATTTTCAATCCAGGCATATGAGATTTTGCAACTTTTTTTCTGCTTTTATTGGGACCTAGCAGCTGAAGTCCCAAATCCTTCAGGAAATCTTCTGTCCTTGACACTTTTTATTATCTATGTTAGAGCTCTCCACACATTTAGGTGTTCAGGTTAGAACTTGGGCATATGAGTGTCTCAGATACACCTTTTGTTATGTCTGCCATACACAGTAAATTAGGTCACAAGCAGTCCAAAATGAAAATGTTGTCTTCTGTTTAAAAGATTGCTTAAATAATTGGGGGTCTGGTGGGTACGTGTGCTAAAATCCTCATCTTTAGGAACATATTGCAGTATTCCTTCTGCATATCACTCCTTTTTACTGGTCTCTATGGCTAACTAATAATAAAAATAATAAGTGATCTGGCTTTCTTTTCTGATATTCTTTTCAATACATTCAAGATGGCCTTGCACAATAGCAGAAGTTCAGGGGTACAAAAGTGTACAACAGCTATAGAGCACGTTCAGATGGCTATCATAGTCCATGTTATCTTTCAGTAATTAAACTTAAGAAACCCTAATTCTTAAAACTACTAGCCCTTCCTCTCTCTCAATAAACAGTACATACAGCTATTGTCAAATGCTCTAGCTGGAGTACCCAAAATAAAGAAAGGCTTCTGGTATGTAGGGGAATATAGGACTCTCATTTGTAAAAAACCCAACAAAATGAAACGGTAATAATGAAACAATAATTAGATGATAAGAAAATAGAATACTGAAGATTTTTCTTATCTATGGAAAGATCAAAATGTTGCTTCTTGCATCTACATATTTCTATTTATGATTATCACAGACTAGTAAAAAACCCACCAGCTGCGAGGGATGCCATCAAATTGGAGGGAAAAAATTCCCCTGCTTTCCAACATTCTACACCTAAATGTTTATTTTTTTTTTTCCTAATGCTTCCGCCATGAGACAGAAGGCCTTCCTGGCAGTTTTTGGCAGAGGACTTACCGGCAGTGTTTGTGGGATCCCGTTAGGGTTTCGATCACAAAGCATTCCCCTTCATTGAGACAATATGCAAGGTCCTTGTCTTTGCATGGCTTAAAGTGCTCCGAGCGCTCCGTGGAATACGTTGTAGTGTCTGGGGAGAAAACAGGGAAAGGAAAGAAAAGCTGTAAGGATAAATACTGGGTATTCCTACAGTACCTGAGAAATAAATTTGATCATAATGGGCTCAGTAACATCAAACACAGACTAAAAGAAATGGAAAGCCTGGGGCATGTGAACCTCTGTCTGACTGCAGCATTATTTGCAATTAGTTTCAAATTAGATTCACAAGAAATATCAGCAGAAAAACAAACCAGACTGCAGCAAAGTTGGAGTATAATCTCAATCACTTCAAATTTCCATGGTTTCCCTGCTAAAATGTAAAGACACCAACTTCATGTCCTTAACTGGACCAATATTTTCATATTACTACACCTAAATATGGTTTGAAATAAGGTACAAATTTTTTTCATAAAAGCCAAGCAAAAGTAGTTAATACAATGTAAATTTTTAAAAGACCAAACAACAAAAAACCAACAAAATCCCACTACAGTGAAAGATAAAAAAAAGCCAAATACCCAAGGCCAATGCTAATTTGATTCACCAGTCACAAAAACAGCCTAATACTCAAACACAAGAAATGTCCCAGTGATTGTGTCATTTCACACAGATCATCTGTAGGTGTATATGAGCCCACTCCAAAATCACAGTAAAAGGCTTGGTTACAGGTAGAACTGTTGGCTGCACTGCTGGAATACTTAGTTAGATAATTAGATTTGGAATAGACTGCCAGTACGTCAGGGTGAACTATCATTCCTGTCTTCTAATAAATCTCTTTCACCTTTCCAATCCAGTTGGATTAATCAACAATAAAGTGAAATTTTCAGAGGAAGATGCCTGACTGACATATATTTTAATTTTCTTCGCTATGACAAGGTTTTGTCTAACGAAGTGTGATTTTCAAAGTAGATTATTATTTCCACAGAGCCATGGTTTAATCTTCATATTCAATCTTAATTCAAAAAGTTTAAATTCCTAATCACTTTGCAGGACCTGATATACACCGAAATAATAAGAGAACATTCCATTGTATGTCATACAGCCTAATCACAAAACATCTCTTTGACTGCTGTCAAATAAATGAAGCAGTGCTCAACAGACACAGAAGCCTGCAAACTCAAAGTTATACAAACACTTTAACTTGGTGTTGCTCATAACTGAATACAAGTTAAATATCCACCAAACTAACATCAAAGTTGAAAACCAAAATACTGAACCACAAGACACCTGTAACAACAGTTCCACAACAAAATGCAGATAACCCCAAAAAAATGTCAAAATAACCCTTTGTTCTTAGTATATCTTTCATAAAACACCTCTACAAGTTTTCCTTATATGCAGACTAAATGACAGAAGATTAATAAAACATACTTTAAAATATAAGAAAATCCACACTCTATACCTTGGTTTCAACACTTCTTTGTTTTTCCTCTCCAGAGAAAAAATGTTGTAGTTTAGTGTTTTCAGTGGAGAGAAAAAATACCCTGGGAATCAACTCTAACAGTCTTTCCTCAAATGTTTCTACAGGTTCAGAACAAAAACCTGGGCCATTGTCCCCAGTAGCAGCACTTACAAAAAAGATACAGGCTAAATAGAAACTATGTTTTTACTGTTTGAAAGCAAACCCTGAAGTGAAATGTATCAAGTTGAATTTGGAGACAATACAAGATGTTTATAGATGCAAACAGTGACTAGCATCTCACTGTTGGCATTTCAAGAATGATCAGCTTTAATGAAAAAAATCTTTGCACAGAAAAGAGATAGCCCAGTTACTTTTTAAGGCCAGTTTTACCCAGGAGCACTAAAATGACCATTTAAAACTTGATTAGGCAAAAAATAACTATAAACATCAGTAACCAGTTATATTTCTACCCTTTTTAGATATGGAAAACTGAAGGTAGCATTAATTGAAAGCACTCCTGGAAATTACAAAAGGTAAATAAAACTGTTTGATGAGCAGAAACTCAGCTTGATCCAGCTTTAGGGAAGAGAACACTTGTATTTGTGAGCCTGCTCACAAATAAGAAGAGGCAATCTGTGCAAACACCTCTGTGAAGGCAGCTGCAATCCACAGACCAAAGGAATCAGAGGTGCTCCCAAAGGACAGCAGCAAAAGGAGGGAGATCCAGCGTGGCTGAGGCAGTGACACTGAATTCTCAGAGCACACCCTTTGAAGTGCAGGAGACTCCTCTTCTAGCATCATTAAATCAAGAACAGTTTGCCAAGGTCAGCATTTTAAAGTTTTAGATTAAATATATTCTTTAGAAGTTTTGTTCTGCTTTAATTATTCCTCTGTTTTATATTAATCAACCTTTGTGTTTTATTTATAAATGGGCATAAGTTGCAATACTTCATTTTCTCCACTTTGACACAATCTTAAGCTTTTCTGTTGTGTTTTGTCCCTCACCTTCCAAATTAAGTATAACAGTTGCAGGTAACAATGATGCTGGCAGCTCCTTATGGCAGCTTTTGGATTGCACTCCCAACACTGAAAAGTACTCAAGAATTGGTAACTTTTTTTTTTTAATAAAATAAATCTCATTAGAAGTTACTTTTCAGTTAGAGTCTTTTCTAGTTTGGAATATTTGTGCAAGTGTGAGCAGGTTGATGCACATGGACACTTCACAGAGCTGAGCACAGATGAGGTGTCTGAGCTCAAAGGTCCATAACAATCCAAAGCTGTGTCACTACCTGATATCCTGGATATCCCTGGAGCTACTGGGCACTTTCTGCTGGAGAGAACTCACATATTCCATTCATGAGTTTCATAAAAGTTACAATCCTGCTGTTGTTTTATTTTGCATACACAAACTCTGCTACAGCTTCATTATATATCGATAAAAACAAAACCTAAAAACTGGTTCTAAACATAACTACAGAAAGTACAAAACAACAGAAAACACTGTAGAGACTACACAATTTTCCTGGTTCTTTATCTAACAAATAACAGATCCTATTGTCTCTTGCTTTATTTTACTCCTAACCAAATATTGAATTGACTTTTCCATGGTGGAATTGTCCTTCATAGCTTCAGAAGCCTGGCAAATAAACACCGTTGTATTGTGATGTTTGACTTTTTTAAGATTTTTTTTTAAAGAATTAATAAAATCTAGGCATTCAAAGAACTGAATAATACAGCTCATTAATTTATTTTTAGTCTTTTAATGTGGCAACAGTCCCAAATGTTTACAAGTAACAAAAGAGGAATCTCTGTTAAGCATTCGGATGTCCCTGAATTCAGTGTGTATTCCTCAAGGTATTTTTTCATGTTTTTAATTGCCATGAGTCCAGGTGTTTCATGCAAAAGCAACAGGGGATCTTGATTACTGCTGGAATCTTTCCAACTAAGTTGGAATAAAAAAATTCTAGGCACTCTTGTTCTTATTTTTCTTGCCTTTCTATATCAGCAAATGTTTACACATGATTCCCATACTCCAAAATTGATATATCATTGCCAACCTTCAGTTAGCACTGTGTAATCAAATGAACCAGAATTTCATTCACATTTCAATATCTTTTATAAACATAGAGTTGGCTTCTAAAAACATTCAGTCCTTGGGACTGTTGAAAAAAATCAGTAGGACGTTTAGATAAATTATTTGATTTTGTTTAGGTCTAAAACAGTCTAAAAAAGTGTTAGTGAAGTCATATTCTTGTCTCATTAATATATGTCATCATATTTATTGCAGTACAGGATGGCTCATTATAGCTGATTTTTGAGTGATCTTCCAGGCATGATATGGTTACTAAAAATGCTATTTGCTCCTTCAAGGCCACCACTTTCAGTGTTTCCTGATACTGATAAATCTGTGACTGCCAGGGAAAAATACAGGGAAAAAAAAAAAAGAATGCAAGATTTAAAATATCCTGGGAACAGCAGCATTCAGAGCAGCTGCTTCTGCACAGATTGCAGCAGCAGCCATTCCCATCCATCACATCTGTCCTGCAGCATTCCAGCTTCAGAAACAGATTTTACTGGTTACATCTCCAACAAAGCAACTTTCCTATGCTAGCTGTAAATGATAATACCCACACTCCCTGGCCCTCTCACTGTAAACATATTTTCCAGGCAGACATTACCTGCTGTAGGGAGAAAAATGACCCAGGAGAACAAGAGATGGGGAGGCCGTGTACAACTTTTGTGAACCAGCAGGCAGGCACCCAACCTGCAGCTACAGTCATTAACACACGTAAGGAAAATGCTTGGTGCATTTCCACCAAGGAGAATTAAGACGTGGTTCATTTTAACACCAGAGCTCACACACTAAAAGACTTCTTAAAATGCTGCATATTTTGACTACTACTATTACCAGCTTTACAGATTCAGTACCAACATGCAAACTGGCTTTTCCTTTATCTTTTTATCCATTTATAACTGATCATTTCCCAGAGGACCATTACTTACCGAGGCACCGAAAAGGCAAGATGCTTATTTTAAATCCCTGATCCCATTTCTAAATGCATTGCAGAAGAATATAAGCCAGATACAGGCAACTGAATTGCCTCTGAAAATATAACTCTAGTTATCAAAAATATACCTTAAGAAACCCCAACATTTTTAACAATATATTCCTGTATCACTACTGTATTCTATAAAGAAGGCAGAATAAAAAGTCAGTTAATAGCACACAGGGAGTTAAATTTTGTGTTTGGTGGAGTCAATGGCAATGTATTTACAATGATTAAACATAAGCAGGGTTCCCTGAAGTTCCTATAGGATCATTCTAGTGCTTCTCTTCTGATATCTCAGAATTATCTGTGGTATCCCTAACTAGAAAGAGTCTTGCACAAAAAAAATGAAACTTACACACAGAATAGTTTAGATGTGATTTTGTTTATTCACTTTCTTAACCTTAAAAATCATAGAACCTTATATTTCTATTTCTGTGATTTTAGAAGTATCATGGTTTAGGAAGGTTATTTCCCAGTTTCCTGCTCCCCCTATTCCCTCTCCCGTTAGAAATACAAAAGGCAAAGATCACAGGTCCAGGTAAGAGTGATTTACTGGAACCAGGGAGGAGAAAAGAAAGGGAA